CAACCCCAAACATCATGAAACAGAAAATACACAGTATAAGTATAAAATAAATGAGTAGATTACTAATTTTCCTTCTCAAAAAGAAGTCCAACATGTATTATTAGTCTGCTTCTTCTTCGACGATACAGCTTTGCAACCCCAAACATCATGAAACAGAAAATACACAGTATAAGTATAAAATAAATGAGTAGATTACTAACTTTCCTTCTCGAAAAGAAGTCCAACATATCTGATTAAGCTGCTTCATATTCCAGAAAGGTCACAACTGTTTCTCACTGAAAAAAAATCATAAAACGAACACCATACTATTACTACTACTACTGCCACCACCACCACTACTACTAATTTTTTTTGGGTTTTGTTTTTTTTGTTTTTTTTTGTGCTTTTACTTCTAATTATACTACTTCTACTACTAATTTTTTTGGGTTTTGTTTTTTGTTTTTTTAATACTTTTACTTCTAATTATACTACTTCTACTGCTAATTTTTTTGGGTTTTGTTTTTTGTTGTTTTTTTTTTGTTAGTACTTTTACTTCTAATTATACTACTTCTACTGCTAATTTTTTTGGGCACGAAATAACAGCGGAAAAAGCACAAGATAACAGTTCAAAACGCACAAATTTATAATGGAAAAACAAGCTCACTAACAGTGGTCAACTAAATCAATTAAGCAAATTGGAAATGAAAACACAACTGAACACAACCAAGTCACCAATATAAATAAACACGCATGGAGGAGGGATAATAATAAACACGTTTGGTTTAAGCCAAGACGCCATGACACCCCCCCCAAAATCAATATTCACCTGTCATTTACACTCCCACCACCTACCCCACCACCCGACTGCAGCGCCACGCGGACGTGGTTGATTGATCCTTGACCTGCGCATACCAGTTTCCCACCCCTGGTACAGTCGTCCGTATGTATTTTTGAGCCTCGTAAGTGGTTTTTCGTTTAAAGCAGCAGAAAGTACCTATATTGTTACTATTCGCGATTCAAGCTAAGTGATACGCCCTCTGGAGGAAATTTGTAGAAGGTCCGTATAAGTAGGATATCGTCCAGTGTTGCCAGAAGTAGCAAAACTTCGCTACGTCGTCGGATTTTAGCTTTTGAAGAAGTGGATAAGACCTTTTATTTAAAAATCAAAATTTGTGTGTGGTAATATGTAATCATACTCTATATTTATTTAAGGATTTTTTTACAAAACCGATTTATTATATTGATTTTTTTTAAATTTCAGTTCATTTATTAATTTTGTTTTAAAATCAGTTGATCATTTGGCAACATTGGCGTTCGTGTTCATTGTTTACATTTTAATTTGTATCAAATTACAATTCGAGTTTTTTCTTACTTTTTAGCTTTAAATTTGTTTATTTCTTATAGTATGTGATAGTGTTTATATTAAAAATGAAATCTGCGAAAACGTCCCCAGAAAATTGCAATCTATATGGTGTTAATGTCAAAATCAAAACTGAAGTATTCAATATTTTCCAAGTGCAAGTCGTAAAATTTTGTTTTTTACGATAAATGAATATCTACAAATTCACAATATTGAAATTTTACAAAACTTTGTTTAGAATCAAACTGTAATCTGATTTGTGACGGTTTTATTACCATTTACATGTATACAAAGTACTACATGATTCACTTCATAATATAAGAATAAGTCTAGTGAGATTTTTAAATAAGTTCATCAATAATAAACGTGTGGTCACAATATATTAGGGGATATATTGTGCGTGTGGTACCTGAAATGTCCTTTAAACCACATAATAAAACATATCCTGGGTTTAGTGAAGACATATTTCTAGATGTTCTTGTAGCAACCAACAGGTGAATATTTCCAACAAATAAGTCATACACATGATAAATATTATATTTATGATGAAAGCACGAGACCTAAACTTAAATTAACACTAAATGAAACTCAAAAACACTATTACAATGATAATATTATCTAAAAACAATCACAAATACAAGACCCACCCAAAACAAAAACATGTAAATAAACAAACATCCTACTTATAAGTGACAAATGACAGGCGCGCGAAAATTAATTTGAATCGCGAATAGCGAGGCGTAACGGTGTGATAATCAAAGATACATCATAAGAATATTATAGTGGTTTTCAGTTTATAATTTTGAGTATTTTTAAATATTTTTTAAAAGTTATGTTAAATAAATTAATAAAAGTTAGATATTTACAAAACACAAATATAATCAATTTAAAAATCCTTTTATTAATAAGTATTGCTGGTAACAATAATTTATACATTTCTGCTAAAATTCGCGTTAAAATAGTCGGAAGATAGGATACTTTACCTAATACTTCTTTTATAATTAACATTCAACCTTTTTAATAAAGTATTTGATAATAACGTGTGACTAGGCATATTATTGGTGCTGGAGTCGGTGTTCCGTAGTAGAATCTTCTATTACTGTGAATAAATCAATAAATGAATAAATAAATAATTTATTAATATTCTTATAAAATTAGCTTACAGCATTTAGTCAGACTCGGAATTTTCTTCACTCTCAGATAACATATTCTGGGAAGCTTTTGTGTTTTTTAGGTCTTTATTTGCACATGTAATTTGAGCCATACAATTGCAGGACCCAATGCAACAAATTTGTTTTTTCTTGCAGGAACATTGTGGCCCGTTGCAATCTAGGAAAAATTTTTAAATTAATAATATACTAATAATAATAATAAATAATTTACCTTTTTTACAATTGCAAGTATTTAAAGCAGAAGTGTCCTCAGGTAGTATTGATTCTGTACTTAAAATTGGTACCAGTTTTCCATTATCAATTTTCCAGCCACACTCTGATACTTCTGGTAAAGATGGTCTGGGTATCGTACTGTTCAGCCATATTTTAGTCTGGTAGTGCACACGAAGACAATGCTGTTTTAAAGTATCTAAAGTTGGAGGTAATTTGCTGATCGGCTTTGAGGACGCTAAAATCCCTCTAAGGTTGTTTATACAATGGATATTTTCGTTATTTGTATAAAATCGCATTACAAACTTAACCATTTTATTAAAATCTTCTTCTTCTAAATTATCGCTTATGCCAACATTACTAAGTAAATTGTGGTGTGATAAAAATACTTTCCAGCATCTTTTTTTGCCCATTCCTACAAATTGACTGGTTGTATCACAACCTGTCAGTGCATGAAACGTTGGTAGACATTTTGTCATTGAATTATCCATTTTCAATTCATGGATTGCTATAAATCTTTTGGTTTCTTTGGTTCCAACCTTTATCCAAATTTCCGGCGTCAGTATATCTTTGAAATGGGCCAATAGTAATAAAACATCTGTGTCCTTACAATCCAATATACATCTTGTATATCCTTCCATTTTAGCAGACAATATATGTAACATAATTCTTGTGTCTGCCTCTTCGTGTCTCGCAATTAACAAGTCAGTTTCTAAATCATAGTTTGCTTTATACTGCAGAACATCAAGAAATCCTCCGCTGGTGACAAATTTAACTCCGAAATTAAGAGAATATTCATACAACTGATTACCTACGAAGTTGGCAAGTTGCATTTTATTAGCAATAGAATGGATAAATAAATGCCACTGTTGAGGTAATAATGTGTCTGAGCTTTCAATGGCTCTCTCTATGGCGTCATTTTTATGTCCCCTCTTCTCTCTTGTGCAATTCTTTATCGACAAATCTTCGTAATGGTCCAGGACAAAATCAATTCTTTCGGCATTGTATTTATTCTTAAATACAATGGCCTTTAAGATGTTTGCATATTCTCCAAACGATTTGGCGTTAGTAGGTTTGCCAAGTCCCTGTATTAATGCCATTCCATCGAATACGTGGCAGGTTTTACCACAATTTCCCGATGGTAAATCTTTGCAACTTCTAGTAAATTTTTCTATAATGTTTCCCAAGTTAGACTTGTTTGAAGGGGTACTTACCTGTATTTATCAATAAAATGAAATAGCAGCTTAAATATTATAATGTTCGAATAATTCTGAAAAACAGTTAACAGGGATACTTAATGTAACTAAAAGTTGAGAACCACAACGTAACAACACAAAAACATCAACACTTTACTCATTTGAAATATGCTGTAATGGTAATGGAGCACACATGCACCCTCTAAGTAGGTACTGTTTTAAACGAAAAGCATCCATCTAGACTCGAAAACACATACGGACGGCTTTACATAGAGATACAACAGCGTGCCAAGCGAATTTCATCCATCCCCGCAGCTCCATATCAGAGTGCGGTTGTCACGACATGCTTTTACATTTTACAGTTTTTTGAAGAAAATACTTATTAGATTTTTGATTTAAAAAAAGCATTTTAATCCTTGATCCTTGTTCTAAAACTTTTATAGAACGTCTTTTTTTGATTAGAATGTTCATTCTTAAGTTTTCACGGTGTAAATGATATTGCATTTTTGATGTTTCAGCGCGAGCCGTTTTATATTAAGGAACTCCATATAAGAGCGTGTTGGGCAGATATTTTAAAATTAAAAATAAAATACTTTCTCTTGGAATTTTGAAATAAAACTTTTGCAGATGATTAAAAATATTGTGCAGATGTAAATTAAATAAAAAAAAATAAATGCTATTTTTTGGAAAACCACCCCTAACTACCCCCTGCACACTACGATTTTTTGACGACCAGGCGATTTTGCTTTCTTATGGTGTAAGGAATGATATAAAATAGGTATTACATTTTAGCAATGAAGTGCAAACGAAAATCGTTTTTAGAAGGAATTTCTTAGCGTTTAATCTCTACTATTTCAGCTAAGTGAAATTTAACAAAAATCGTAATCATCTACAACTTGGCAGCTACGCATTTCCTCACCATGAGATTAGGGTTTTTGTTTACTCATAGCCATTACATTTGTTATTATGATTACAGATTTCGGCTAAACGAAAGTTAAGCTGGTAAATGTTAAAATAACACTTACTTTCTTGATTTCGGTATTATAGTTAAAGCATAAGACAAACTATTTAGTTATTTTTTAGGATTATGAATTTGTGTTATATGGCAATCGCAGAGAGACAATATTTGTGGCAAATCAATCAGTAGTGATTAAACCTATTTTGGCAGAAAGTATTTATGGACCTGACTTTGTTAATACACCATTCAATCTGGGGGACGAGTAAGTTGAAACTTTTTAATATCAAAACAATAAAGAATTAAAACGTAATCGTTGAATTTGATAAAAATTTTCCCTAAGACAAATATCACTGTTTAATAATAACATCTTAAAGACCAGACGCCCGATATCTGGAAAATTATTTATTTGGACAATTTCGCAATTTTGTTTCCCAAAATCGTTAAAGGAAAAGACCATGGGCGAAGTTAGGGGGGGGCTTGGGGGGGCTAAGCCCCCCCAAAAACCAAATTAGCCCCCCCAAAAATAATTCGAACATTTATGGCACATCCATCCACACATTTCAGATTTCAGAACAGAAATTAATAAATAAAACAAAATCGTGCCTTTTGATTGATTCTGAAAATTTACATTTAGTTCAGGAGGCAGTGAATTTTACTCGTACTCATTTTTCCAATCGATGTAAAAGAAAATAAACTGTTCTCTTAGTGACAAAAAACAAACATTTTGAGTCTGACACTTATTTTCCCAGTCATAAATATTTTACATTTACTAAACTAGAACATAAAGTTTATAAAAATAGCAGTTCGGAATATCTCAGATAGTGAAAAGTGAGTGTGGCAGAAAATTTAGCATATAAATTGATACAATCATGAACTGTTAATAATAATAAGTCTGGCTGATTTACGAAATTGGCAAATGAGTCTGGTAACATCTTCAAAATCGAAAAAATATAATATTTTTGCTTTTATTTTCCCGGGTTTGAAAATTTGTCACGTGATAGATTATATTATAATTTTACAGCTCTATTTTATAGCAGATCAAATACCGTTATTTTAAAACGCTTCCATGAAAAATTTCCGAAAATTTTCCTTTTGGTGGGTACCCTGAACGAAATTATACTGAAAGTTGTTTTGACAGTTGAGAAGCTCTTTTATGCATGTTTTATATGCTGTTCTATGGTCAGCTTTGAAAATTTTATTTTAGTCGTTTTAATGCATGTCTGTCTAGTTTTGAAATTTAAATATTTTGGTGTAAAATATTCTTACCCAATACCTACCACTGGTGCCTAAATTATTATCAGTAAATTTTTGCTCACTCACGCATATTTTAAGAAAAATATCCATCGTCTTGGACTCAGGATAAATTTCAAAATATTCATAAGTTCGAAAAAAATTTCGGAAATAATTTAGGCACTAGTGGTATTCTAAGTGAAAATATACGTCTGGCTGACAATTACAATCACGAAGGCCTGCCAGACTCACAAGTAGTGTCCGACCGAAGGTTCGGTTACGGTTTTGGCCAACTTCGGCTTAAAATAAGAGTTTCGACTACAGTTTCGGTTTCGGCGGAAAACTGGCCGAAACTGCAGCCAACTACGAAACTACTTTCGAAAGTTTTCGTATCACACTTGGTTGTGTCCGGCACAATGGCGACTGTGCCGGGTGCCATTCCTACACAGTGCACGTACTTCTCTGCTTTGTTTCAAGTGAACAGTCTTCAGTGCTCCTGGCCTAATTTATTCGACTTTTTAGGTGAAACGTGGAAAAAATATTATTTCTAGCCTACAACGTTAGACTGTTTACTTATGAATATTAATTTAATTATAAGTAACAAACATATTTAATTATCTGAATTTGTTTTTTTTTTTAATAAAAATTACATTATATATAATTCCCTTCATAATATTATTTTTTGTTACAAAAAATCTAGAGACAGATGCAGGAATGATTGCTACTTTGTAATTAACTTATTTTTTTTTTTAGTTTCAAAAGTAATAAAAAAAACAATGTCAATAAATTTATCAATGGCTTCTTGATCACATAAATAAATAGGTAATAAGTAAATGTAGATAAAATTTATAATACGAGTTAATTAGTCTTAAACAAGGATTACAATAAGATATTGCAAATTTCAATAAGAGATTGCCTTAAAAGAAAGTTCTTATTTCTGTTTCGGTTTCGACCGAAACTAAGAAAGGAGCCGAAATTGGGTTTCGGTTTCGGTTATACAATCGAATTTCGGTCGGACCTGACAAGCCAGGTAGTTAAACGAGGAGAGGAATAGTGATCGAACGTGCAGAATTTAGAGTGCCTGACGATCATTAGACAAGTCCTGCAAGGCTTTCGGGGTGTTCCACATTAGCCAGATTGTATTTTAAGCTGTTATCATAATATACATTTTTCTAGTACTGAGAACACTTGTAACAGGGATCCTTACTGGGCATTGCCAACTAAAAGGACATCTTAGTAAACTGAGAGTAGTAGAAAATAGCGAGTGAAGATTCTGTGAGGAGAAGGACGAAACCTTCAGTTACAATCTAACTGAATGTGTAGCACTCTAGAATCCAAGGGCACTATACCTAGGAGCATATCAAATAGAAACTTGAAGGCACTCCAAATCCTACACTTCCTTGAGAAGATATAATTGAAAGGGTCGTTATAGGCATTGAGACATTTCCTTGCTGCATTAGCGACAGAAGGGAGCACAATAGATATTTTAGGTCGCAGTGTATTAACACCCCATTCCCAACATAACATAACATAGCGAGAAAATGCAAAATAATGAAATCCACAAATCACAGTTCATATTTCCATCCAACTACTAATATTTTTAAAATTTTAAATTCTGACAAACTATCGGTATATTTTTTAGTCATTAAGATTACATATACGTTAAAATTATTTATTTGGGCCACATTTAAAAAAAGTAAATTTTAATCAAATTGTATGAAACTAATTTTATTACGAGTATTAAAATTAAAAACCTAAAAGTGGCGGTGGAGATGAGGACAGCGCATTTGCCTTCCGCGCGAATAGCCTGGGTTCGAATCTGGACTAGGGGCTAATTTTCTTTGTTTTTTTATTTTATAAATTATTAAAATTCATAAATTATTTTAAAATTGCTTATTTTGTCTAAACCTAAAATAATGTTTTAAATTTGTAGATTTTCGTTTGTGGTTCGTAGAAAAAATATACTGTACAACTTGAGTGGGTTGTCCATATCTACATTTGTTGCGAAAATTAGGGAAATTTTTGTGATGAAAATTATTCAGTTTTTCACTTATATATGTTATTTTATTCATTTTTTCATAGATTCGCCAGAATTACTATACCTCTAGAACTATTATATATTATATGACTAGGGCTAGGGCTTTAGCCCCCCCAGATATGATAACATAACTTCGCCCATGGAAAAGACTTAAAAATGTTTTTAAATGTGTAACTTTCCGCTATGTCACGTGATATATCATAATATACAAAATATAATTGTTTTCATAAAAAAATATATAATTTTAAACATAGCTTTCAAGAAAACTAAACGATATTTCAAAGTGTTATGTTCCTATATTAGTTGTAGGGATTGAAACGGTAAGAAAACCTATAAATATTATTGTACGATCGCCTAAACCGACCCTGTCCTCTATTTACTTTTACCGCGCCGTAGAGACTGGCGTTGGCCATAAATTATACAATCGTTACATTGGTGCCAGAAGTGGGTTTATAAATAAATAATGGACAAAAATGGCTAAACGTGTGATTTAAAAGTGTCTGAGTTGCGTCGAGAAATAGAGGATCGTGATCTGGAGACGACAGAAAAGAAATTAGAGCTGGCAGAATGTCTTAAAGAAGCAAAAGACAATGAAGGTTTGGATCTGAAAACATATTTATTTTCGGATAATGCATCTTCTGCTATTATTTCTTCTGATATGGAAAGTAAGATATGACTTTTATATAAACCGATATTTCCTCTTCATTAGAGACTAAAGTTTATTTTGATGTTTCTTCCATACAAAATGATATTTCTTTCTTGGAAGAAAAGGTGATTTCTGACATTTCTTAGAGGAAAAGGTGTCTTGTGATATGAAAAACGAAATCTCTTCTTTAGAAACGAAAGTTTCTTTTGATATCTCTTCTTTAAAAGAAGAAATTTCTTCCGACCTGGAAAACAAAATGTTTTTTCTAAAAAAAAAAAAAATTATACACATAAGATGACTTCCGTTAAGGAGAAAATAAAAGAAATATAGAAGAAGATAGAAGAACTGGAACATACAGAACAGACCAAAGACGATATAATAATGAGGTGCCCGTGTTGAATCTCTAACTTTCAACGGGAATATGTCATGGACCAACTATCTTAAACAGCTGCGAGAGTAAACGAATGATCCGAAAGAGAAAAATCAATAAATTTAACCATCGTCCTTTCAGGATACCCTTTAGATGTCCTTCAGACAATATTCAAGGAAGAGACAGTTGATTTTGAACAACTTAAAAAGAGACTAAACATGCGATACGGCCATGAAAACTTGGAAAATTTATTTCAATCACAGATTAAGAATTGCAAACAGAAACGTGACGACGGGACCCTTTAAGAATATGAAGTAGATATTGTCAGGACTTGCCCACCGATCAGCTCCGAAAAATATGATAAAATGTCTAGCTGTCCAAACATTTATTGATGGACTCCATGACCGTGAAATGCACAAAACATTGCTCGATGTCTTGTCCGCTGCACTATAGTATGACGCAGCTACCCAAGCTTCTAGTGGATACACTAAAATGAGGACTGCAAAAGAGAAATAAGAGGAAGATAAACTCAACCAATTGGTTAACATGATGCAAGAGTCTGTCAAGGAAATGAAGACGACGACTATGAAGTGCTGAAATTGCAGTCAACTGGGACATGCAAAAGCCCTAGGGTACCAAAAAATCAAGACAATAAGCAGCAGGATAACTAGAACGGGTCGGACTTAAGGGGGAACCGTTCCAAAGACCCTCTCATACTGATAACCTTTTTGAAATGTCGCGATGATAGTGTATACCAATGTAAATAGTAGAAAGTATATTGTAGATACTGGAGCAACTAGGTTCATTATACGACCAACAACCATAAGTAACCGCAAGAAACTTATACCATCAAGGTTGCGATTGCGGACAATTAGGAATTGGTACAAAAAAAGTTCACTCATACTTTACTGTCGCTGATATCGAAGAAGATGTTATACTAGAAATGGATATAATGAACTTACTTGGCTTCCAGTTAAATTTTAAGAACAGAGTAATCAAAGTTGGTGCCGAAGAGGTATTCCTACGTCCATATGGGGACAATATCGTGCCAGTTGCTTTACAGAAGGATACGGTGGTACCTATCAGAAGTAAAACCATTATAGTAGCACGGCTTCAAGAAATTATGAAAGTACAAACGCCTGTTATGATGGAACCTTGAAACCACGATGAAGAAGTTGGCCTAGGAATTTTGATCAAAAAACGGTTGTCACGATTGCTTAAGAAATTCTAGTACATCTTATAAACGGTAATGATCACACAATTACCATCAAGAAAGAGATCAGAAATGGAACCTGTGTACCAGTAACTTTCATATTTCGTCAGCATCGTCTAATAATTCCAACGATAATTTGGAACAAATAATTACAGTTGCTGGTCAATCTCTGAATATATTAGAGAGAAGAAAAATAAAGAAAATGTTTCGTGATATTGTAACTTTGTTGTATCTAAGGGAGGAAAAACAGAAAAAACATCTGTGTTAAAACATAAAATTGACATTGGTGATGCCAGGACAATTCGCCAATCAGCTCGAAAATTACTAAAAACCAAGAGAGCGAAAGCTGAAAGAAATGTAGGGAAATGGAGCCCATGAGTATTTCCAGCAGTCCTGGTCTAGAAAAAGGATGGAACTACAAGGTTCTGTGTGGACTAACTTTAATTGAACAATGTTACCAAGAAAGACAGTTATTCCCTGCGTTGAATCGACGATACCTTAGACACATTGACCGGAAGTAAACTATTTTCTACTTTAGACTTGGCCCGTTATTGGAACGACACAGGTACGGCCTTACCTGACGCGTTATATATAAACAAACATTTTAAAATATATATAAAAATACTTGATACATAAATTTCTAATTACGATCCAGTTCATGTTGTTTTAAAATTAAAGAAATATTTAAAGCCTGCTCACGCCTTCAATCATGAATGCTAGAGATATCATCAAGCTAAAAAAATCCAATACATGAAAAGTGCACCCACAGAGTGCCCGAGCTGGTGCTGGTACTAATACTGCAATCTGCATTGAATTTTCATAATGAAAAAATATTTCTGTTCTCAAATGTAACCAATTTGAAATGTACACCATGAAGTAGAAAGAGAAAATCTTAAAGACGGTGTCACATAAACAACGAGCGACCATTTCCCTCTTAAAAATAACTACTTCCTTGGCTAATACCGTAACAGGCATTACATTATATCAAAAGATGAATAGCAGTGACTTTCTACTTAGGAAGCAAAATTAATGCTAGTTACGGTATTAACCAAGAGAGTGAAGAATGAAATGGTTGTTCGGTGTTTATGTAACACAGTCTTTAAGATTTTCTCTTTTTTCTTCATGGTTAAATTTTGTTCTTTTGAATTTTAATTGTTAGAGTTTATAATTTTCCATTTTTATACACATTAATATTAAACAGATTTTTTACAAAGGTCGGTAAATAAAATTTACTTATAATTATTAATGTTTCAGATGTACTGGTATTAAAGATACTTCAGATTGTCGCATTACACCAGATGCTGGATTCATTGTTCCTCCTGTATTATCTTCAAAAATAACAACAAAAAATAAATTTTCTTTCAAATATGGGAAAATTGAAGTAAGAGCAAAATTGCCAAGAGGAGATTGGATTTATCCAAGTAAGAAGTAGTAATAATAATAAATCATTAAACTAATGTTTATTATTTAATAAACATATTTATATGTAGATATACACTATACAGTGCTTCTCAAAAGTCCCCTCCACTCCTCATTTCTTTTTAACGGTGATACTTAGGCTGATGAAATTTGAAGGGTGAAAATTAACTATTGTAAGCTTCTCTACTAGTTGTAACAGGTGACGTTATACGCATCGGTGACGTCACCAGGCAACTGAAACCAATAATATTAAATGGGATCTTATTTTAACCATCAAAAACATCGTAAACCTAAAAAAAATAGTATGATTGAATAGGTATTCTAAATACCTTTCAAACGAGGTACTTGATGTAAGGTCCTATTTAATATTATTGGTTTTAGTTGCCGGGTGACGTCACCGATGCCTATTACGTTACCTGTTACCACTAGTAGAGAAGCTTACAATAGTTCATTTTCACCCTCCAAATTTCATTAGTCTAAGTATCACCGTTGAAAAGAAAAGAGGGGAGAGGGGACTTTTGAGAAGCACTGTATACCAAGTGTACCATAGATGTCTATAAATTGTCTAGATCAATTGACAATATTACATTTTTGTTGTAATATGGTATTATGAAGACTAGATATAAGGAGGCGAATCGGCCTTGGTCAAATTTCAAATTTCCGTCCCTATTTTTATGGAGTTCCAAAAAACCACTGTAGTTGGCGGGTGGCAAAATAACGACGTCTATTTTCTATGCAAGTCAATGGGAATTAAAGTGATTTTTGTAAAATTTAGTGAAAAGAATAAAAATAAGCTGAAATAAAGAACCTGACTACAAGTAACAATGAGTACCAAAAAACGGAAAAGCAGGATTTCTTCGTTTTGGGTTGAAAAACGGGATATAAATCCGATATAAAATTAAAGAAAACACAAGGAGATAAAAATCCAAGTCTTTTTAAAGCTCCTAGTGTAAGTAAAATAATGTATTTATTTCTAAATAATATATATTTATTGTAAAATAGTCACAACCCGTATCTTACGGAGTGTAGTTTATTTAATTACAAAATTTTATAATAAAAAATAATAAAGTCATAAATCCTGACTTACAAACAACATTACACATTAAATTTAACTTACTAGAAAAGAAAATTTGCTTTTTTTATGTTTTTTGATTTTAGATGAAGAGTTAATTTTTCTTTATTGAACTTCAATTTAGTCATTGCAAATATTTTTTATAGGATCCTAAACGTTTAGAACAATGGCAGCATGTGATTCCTAAGGCTGATAAAGTACTGTCTAGTTATGATTCTGTTTGCGAGCTACACTTTTTAGAAGATGATATTTTAAAATTTGATGAGACTATTTTAACTAATGGTACTGTTAGCAAAATAAAAAGGGGACAGCTGAAATTATAGGATGAGGTAATACCACATCTTATACAATACAGCTCCACAACTCCGTGTCGGCGTCTTTGATCTGGCGGTCGAGAACCAAGCAAGACGGAATGGTGCTATCTCTGTTAGATTCGAGGGAAAAGTCGGGCCCGGATTAAACAATTTTTTTATTATTGAAAAAATTGAAAACCTTGGCGTAATAAGGTTGGTTACATGCCATATTAAGTAAGTTTTGGGAAATTAAATTTTTAATTTGTTTTAAATCTGTCAAATATAATTAGAAACTTTATTTAAATATAAATATTACGAAAAATAGCACATCTTTTGGATTAGAGGTAAAATAATTTGTATGTGGCTAGTAAAATCCTCGTTAACAAATGTTTTGAGCTAAAACAGTCACTTCACGACAAATTGTGGCTTGGATCCTTTTTACACCAAGGGCTTCAATTGTTAAAGAATTGTGTCGCGCTCGTGGATGCAAATCAAGTGGTACCCCGTGTCTCTGGCAAGTGTTACTCTTCGCGCAAAGGGTTTATACCTAGATAAACGAATGCTTCGACTGAGGTCTGGGAACTCTATGGTATTTTGGAATTATAAAGAATTTGTGCTTTTATTTTAACAATATTGGTTATATTTAGATGTATTCTTATTAATCGAAATACAGATTTGTAGAAGTAATACTTTGACAGTTCTTATTAATATAATATATTCAATTTTTATCTGACCATACCGAAGTAGGGAATTTTGAAACTTTATAGTAATGTGAAATTTGAATTACAATATTACACGATATTACATAATTAGTACTTATTTTAGGTAGGTACTAAATTTGTACTTGGAGAAAGTAATATCGATTTTTATAAGAAAACTTGAAAAGTAAATTAATTTAGTTCCTATTTCTGATGTAAAACTTAAGTTTTGGTTTAAACCAAGAAAACAAATAAATTATAGTTTGTTCAACAAGGGTGGATATGATAGCAATATCACACAAAGACGAAGTTTGAGCACGACGTCGTATGCGGAGTACTCAATCGTCTGATTGTGATATCAACAATCCACTCGATATGGTCAGTATATTTTTTCTACGACCCACTAACGAAAATCTACAAATTTAAAAAATTATTTTAGGTTATTTAGACAAAATAACTAATTTTAAAATAATTTACGAAGTTGACTAATTTATAAAATAAAATTAACATGAAAAATTAATTAGTCCTCGGCCTAGATTCGATCTCGGGCTTTTCGCGTGGAAGGCAGATGCTCTGTCCTCATCTTCGCCGAAACTTTCAGGACTTTAGTTTTAATACTCGTAATTAAATTAGTATCATGTAGTTTGATTAAAATTTATTTTTTTTTAAATGTGGACACAATAAAAACAAAAATGCTATTATTTATCGAGTCTACACAAAAATTTTAATGTATATTTAATATCAATAACTAAAATATATATTGACAATTAGTTTAACAGAATTGTCACTTATTTAAAAAAATTTAAATAATAGGAGTTGGGTGACCAAAATATGAACTGTGATTTGTAGATTTAATTTTGTTAAAGTGTTCTCACTACCTAAAATGGATATGAAATATATTCGTAGTTGAACGCAATAACATAGTTTTTCGTTTTGTAGTATGTGCATAGATTGGCTAATATCCATGCACAGATTACAAAACGAAAAAGTATGCTATTGCCTTCAATTGAACGAATATATTTCATATCCATTCTAGGTAGTGAGCACTGCAAAAAAAAATAAATTCGCCAATCACCGTTCATATTTTGATCAACCGACTGCTATTATTTTTAAAATTTTAAATAAATCACAATTCTGTCAAACTAATTGTCAGTATATTTTTTAGTTATTGAGATTAAACATACAATAAAATAAGTTATTCTTTTGGAAAACGTTAGCATGGATGACTAAAGGGTATTGGGTTAATTAATTCTAAAAGTGTGGTACAAATGTTATTTTTTGTAGTCAATTCTTCAAAATTATTTTGAAATATCTTTTCAATATTGAATATTAGTTCTACAAATTCATCATTTGACAGTTGCAGATTACCAAATGTATCTGGATTGGCGTTATCATATGCCTTTAAAAAGCAATAAAAAGAAAAATCATCTAATTCAACGTGATCTTTGTTATATTTAAGACAGGTATCGCAGAGGAGTGGATCCGCAAGGCTTTTATTAAAAGGTAACCACACACATACCTGATAAAATTTTTCTGTATCAATTCGTCTTTACAATAATTTAGGGTGTTAATAATTTTATCATAAAATAAAATACAAGGTGTTCCATTTAAAAAACATACATTTTAATTTGCCAGGCAAAAACGTGACACCCTGTATATCCAAAGACATTTTTAAAATATGTAGGTATTTTTCAAATCCATATAACTTTTATTTAAAACTTTCTTGCGTGTCTACAACAAAATAATGAACAATAACGCACTAATGGGATACTCTGTATAAATTATATTTTTAACAATGAAAATTTCTTATAATGTGGTACTTATCGGTTTGGGTCCTTGGGAAAACTAAAGAATGTTTTCTTGCAGGTATAACCCTTATTAAAACAGCTTTTGACTGCACAAACAGAATGATGTCTTTTTTTTTACTTATTCTACTCATAGCTAAAGAGTCACCAAAATAATAACAGTACCTTTAACTCAAACAAAATCAATGAAATTATAGGCTCCACGAAATTATACAATCAACGAAATTATAGGCTCCACGAATTTATACAATCAACGAAATTATACGCACGACTCAACACCTTACCTAAGTACGCTTCTGAACACCAAAACCGTCTTTTCCCTTCGAAGGCGCAGCTTAAGCGATGCGCAACGAAATCGACGCAAACCGTTGCCGCCAAGAGAGTGTTTTAGCTGTATTGTATAAGCTGTGGTAATACCATATACATTCCCAAATCTCCCTTTATACTTGTATTATAACAATAAAAAATCTGTTAACTGTGTTTTATTTTACTCTTAAAACTATATATTGGTTCAATTCAAAAAAAAAAATTGCCACAAAATTGTACTTATTAAATTTTAGCAATTAAGAAACCTTTTCGAATTTGGTCATACATACCAAAATTGTATTTTATATAGATAAAATTAAATAATTTATCAATTAAAACATGCAAGACTTATTTAGAAATAAATACAACAGTATGTTCTGTGCTTTGTTTAGCTGTAAAAAAGTTTATTTTTATTATTTTGACAAAATTATGTATAATTCCCATAAACAGCCATGTATTTTGAACTACGTAAACCGTACTAGCGCCCATGTGGTTAATTTTAAAAGCTCAATTGACGTGTGATTTTTGGAACAGTATTTTGAGCATGCCGATTCGCCTCCTTACCTCTAGTCTTCATATATGGTATATATGGAATGACAAATATTATATAGTGTTGAAGCTATTTATTGCATAAATTAGATGACATATCATGTGTATACGAAACTCTGATAGCTGTCACAAAAAGTGCCCTCGTCCGTCACCATAAGATTAAAGCTACCTATCCCAATGTTCAGGTAACAAGGTTGATGCAAAGGTGACGTCATAATGTCAGGAGTTCTATAGTACTCCTCCTCAGAGTTTTGCATACAATTATTGTTGCACATAACTAAATATAAAAACAAAAACTATTTAACATATTTCTTCACAAAATCTGACCTTCTTGATGTCTTCGGAAAAACCGTAAACAGGCTTAAGGCGATTTATGGAAATATTAGCATTTTCGCCTTCAATAACAACAGTACAATATTTTTCTCTCCTTGCTATTATGGAATACGGTCCATTATAGAGTTGTCGCAAAGATCCAACTAGACAGGTACTTAAAAACAAACTCCGATGGTTTAGAACGGATATTATTGGTCTTGGGTCTTAAAAACAAAAATTGTTTACGCAACTGTGCAACATAGTAACTGGCAGGTATATCGGTGTCATCGTGAGAAGAAAGAAAGTCTGGAGGTAGCCGAATTGGTTCTCCATATACAATTTCCGCAATCGTTGCATTCAGGTCTTCTTTATATACTCCCAACATGCCCATGGTGATAAATGGTAAAATGTAGACCCAATTTTGAGTATAGTAGCAATGAATTGAAGCTCTTAAATGTCGATGCCATCTTTCGGTAATACCATTAGCTTGTGGGTGATAAGCGGTTGTTCTAATTAGCTCAACTACAAAAAGTTTGGATAATGATTTAAAAAGATCACTCTCGAATCGACAAATCCATGAGGTAAAAAGTGTTTTAGTCACTGTTTCAGCTGATATATTACGAATTGGGCAAGCAACAGGAAGTCGAGAAAATCTATCTATAATTCTTAGGCAAAACGTATACCCATGACAATGGACCAACTATATCTATATGCAAATGCTCAAATTTAGAACTAGTTTGGAAACTTCCAATTGGAGATTTGACGAGACGAGTAATTTTCGAGCGTTGGCAAGGAATACAAATTGTAGCCAATTTTCTACAATCTTTTGTAATTGCAGGCGTTACATATCTTTGCTTGACTAATTCAGTGGAAGCGCGTATTCCAGGATGGGAATATCTATGAAGAAGATCAAAAATTTTCTTTCGAAAAGGTTTAGTGACGTAAGGTCGAATAGAAGAAAGATATGTATCGCAATATAAGCGAAAGTTCGTACCAGGAATAATAACCTTTTCTAATTTTAAAGAAGTACTATTATTTGAGAGCAAATTTTGTAATTCTGTATCGATATCCTGTGATTTAGCGAGTGCGTGAAAATCTAATAACTGATCTACAGCATTCACTCTACTAAAATAATCGGACACTAAATTTGCCTTACCACTCACATGTCGAAGATCAGTAAAAAATTGTAGACTTTGGAAACTGTCGCAATGCATAAACTTTTCTTTCCAATGGTTTAATTCCACTTGCTGATAAAGAATATTCTAGAAATTCAATTTTCGTAACACCAAATAAGCATTTATTGACATTAATAACAATACCGTAATTTCTTAATTTTTCAAAAACAATGTTTAATTGATTGTAGTGTTGTTCCTTTGAAGATGAAGCTATAAGAATATCATCTAAATAAACATGACAGAAATCGAGACCTTTCAAAACTTCATCCATAAATCTCTGAAATGTATGTGCTGCATTTCCTAAACCAAATGTCAGGTCAGTGAATTCAAATAGACCAAAGGGAGTTATTATAGCAGTTTTGGGAATGTCTTCTGAAGCTACCTTGATCTGATTATAAGCTCTTACTAAATCTGTCTTGGAAAATATAATTTTGCCACGAAGGTTTTGGGAAAAATCATGCAGGTATCGTAAAGGTTATCGGTCGGAGATTGTACGAGCATTAAGTGAGTGGTAATCCCCGCACGGACGCCATTCCCCATTTTTTTTCGGAACCAAATGAAGGAGCGAAGCCCAAGAACTATCAGATCTTTGAGCAATTCCTAATTTAACTATTGACTTGAATTCTTGCTTGGCTGCTTGAAATTTTTCCCCTGAAAGTCTTCGAGCTTTGTTAGCAACCAGTGGTCCAGGTGTAGTGCGAATATAGTGTAACGTGGTATCCTTAGTTGCTTTCAAGAATCCTTCCAGCTTGGTTATTTCAGGAAATACAGTAAGAAGTTTGAGATACTCAGAAGTACCGTAACTTATAGATTTAATTGTGAGATCTTTATTCTGTTCGTAGTAGGTTCCTAAAGACAATAGACCTGTCAGCGAGTTAACAAGACATTTATTTCGAATATTGACCAACAAATTAAAATAAGCTAGAAAATCTATTCCTATTATGGGTTTAGTTTCTTCAGCTAGGACAAATCTCCAGACAAATTATCTGCGCAAACCAAAGTCTAAATAGTAATAGGGCCATAAGTATTAATAATCGAACCGTTAGCAGCGAAAAGTTGATAATTAAACTTTTCTCATCGAGTTTTAGTGTAAGAATATGGAAAAACTGATAAATCCGATTCAGTGCCAACAAGGTATTGAATTTTGGATTTTTTTTCGGTTAAGAGAAGGCAGCGCAAAATGTTGAAACAGTCAGTTGCCGCCGTTAAGCGCGACTGCCTGAAAAGTTTTCTGATTGAGATCGACAATGTGATGAGTGATAGAAGTTACAAGAAGGTATACATTTTATTGCTTTAGAAGCGAACCTTCTGTGATACCAACAAGTAATAGCTACATCATCTCTGCTGTTGCTTCTGCTACGTATACTAGTCCGTGTACTAGGGTCTCTAGTAAGCTTTTCTGACATAAAATCATTGATCTTACTCGTTAATTCGCTCACTTGTTGTTGTTTGAGCTCATTAATTTTATTTGGAGTATTAACTATAGAAGCTACCTGAGTAAATGAAGTAGTCTCATATATCTTGTCTGCTAATTCAGCTACGACTTCTAGAGATTGTACACTCTGTGTTACGAGAATTTCTTTTACATTTGCTGGTAATCTACTTAACCATAACGTACGTTAAAATGCATCGAAAATAATATTACCTGCCAGGCTGCGCAAATGTCTTAGAAATTGTGAGGGTTTCCGATCGCCAAGCTCTCTTTGACCTAATAACCTTTGAATTTTCTCTTCTTCTGAAATTGATAGCCTCTGAATCAATGTTTTCTTAAGTACGTCATATTTATCTTTTTCTGAAGATAAGTGATGATGTCCTCGACTTCTAACTGAGATACTGCGTAAGCAAACTTGGTTTCATCTTTGGAAATGCAACTTATTACGAAATGGCTTTCCAGTTGACAAAACCAAAGAGCTGGTTTTTCGGGCCAAAATGGTGGGGCGCGGAAAGTTACTTTGGCTACATCTGCGTGTTCGGTTATTTTTCGTCAGGGTCACCAATGTTGAAGCTATTTAATGCATAAATTAGATGGCATATCATGTGTATACCAATCTCTCTCTCGAAGTGCCCTCGTCCGTCACATCAAAGCTACCTATCCCAATGTTCAGGGGTTGATGCAAAGGTGATGTCATAATGTCAGGAGTTCTACATACAGCATGTACTCAATTTAACACCTTGTCATAACAATCTCATTTTTTGTTATACAACTTTTCACACTGTGTTCAAAATTCCTTTATTTCAACTTTTTCCTTCAACATTTAGTTTCCATATCAATCTAAGTTTATTATTTTCTGACTTTTTTAACTGACAATCTTTCTTTAAAATCCAAATCCATTACAAAAACACAACTTTCCTGACTGCTACAATTTCTATACACCATCCCGATATGCTATCTCTAATTTTAACTCATAACGTCACCCTTTATCCTTCAGAAATTTACACATCACTTTATTCTTTTAAAATCAAATTTATTTTATGATCTCTTTTTGTACGTTTTCGACTGTAGAATTACTTTAAAAACTTGTTATATAATTTTTATAAAAATGTCTACAGAAATAATAAATAGTACATTAGAAGTGTATACCTCAAAAGTTATATAAAAAATATCATGCCGAAATATGGTTAAAAGTTTTAAAATTTTGATCTATAATTTTAGTAATTACTTTAACGCCATCTTCAGAAGAATATGGCCCGAATTATGAATCTGGACAAATTACAATAGCTTTTTCTCCTGGAAACGAGGATTCACACACAACAGTTAAAGGAGGTGTTGTCTTAGGAGCTTATCCATCAGCTAGATATTATGGCATTAAAAGTGTTAGTCAGAATCATGGTTGGTCGCTTGCTTATCACAGATTTGGCGTTATTTGGAAAACAGGTAAGAAAATATATGAACTAAATTATTATTCGCGTCTGGTATTATATTATAAAAGCGAAAAAAAATAAACAAACGTTATAAATATTTTGTTTACCTTTTCTAGTAGGTATGATTTAAAACCAAAACTAATCTATTAAATAAAAATTATACTTTTCATTTGCAGATAACATTGTATTAACCGTCAATGATAAACTCTATGGTACAATATTTCCTCCTGCTGGTGGATTTTCAACATTAGCGACATTGTTAAAATTAAAAAATGCGAACCGTTGGCAAAGTGGATCTGTTTTAGCTCCTTTCGATAAAGAAGTAAGATTTTTTTATTTTCAAGGAATCAGCAATATAGATTTCTTAATTATAGAACCTATTAGTTTTTTTTAAATTCTTTTATTTTAAATATCAATAACAAATTTCAAAACATGTCTACTTGATTTTTTTTCAAAAAGTAAATATTAACTATACAGGGTGTCCGGGAAAATGTGGGAGGTCTCTCGGTTTCAGATAAAAAATAAGATAACAAGTTCTCATAATTTTTTTTCCTAGCGGCCTTCCCTACGGAGATACAGCCTCCAAAAGGACGCCACTGGAAAACATTTTTTTTAATACAGTTCATCAAATTTCTAGAGGCTTTCGACGGCTAGACAGAGAAAGCACTACTGACAGGCATCCCGACGGATTTACGCAATGAAAGTACACTCTGCGCATCAAGTATTTCACTATTTCATTCAGACGTAAATGTCAGATGTAAATTTCGCTAAAACATTTCTTTTATTTTCGTTTGTGTTTTTTGCTCATTACAGTTTAATAGAACCTAAGAATGGAGTTTAATAGCAAATTAAAAGGCTGCGTGATTAACAGTCAATCTCGCGAAATAATAGCCAATGTTATAGAGTTTATGAGAAGAGAAGGAAACTTTAATTCACCTTCAATACCGTTTAAAAATGTAAATGATCGTGTTGCTGCAGCCACAGGAGTATCTAAAAACACTGTCGTCCGCATTTCTGGAGAGAAAAAAAGAATCGATAACCGTGAGATATCGGAATTTTCATCACCAAGAAAAACCATTAAAAAACCAAAAACAGTTAATGATATAGATGAAGCTGCACAAGAATCAAATTTTATTTTTTTAATATTAGATAGCTATTTTTGTTTCTGAGTTGTGTTCATTTACAGGCTCAATTTTTTTCCGTTTCTCCTTTTTGATTTTATATGGGGTTTCAAGTTGTTTTTGACTTATTTCGACGTAAATCACAACAACACACTGTTTTTAATAAAGCAAACAAGTGTTAAGAGGTATATGTACGTGTAAACTACAATTACAAAAAATTGATATGAAACCCATGAAACCACCAACAAAAATGTAAAGCTAGCTTCCGTACTAGAACATGGTGTCATTCGTCGAGATAATTTATCGTTTTGTTTAATAGATCAAGAAATGTAAATATTCCCCTGTTATTTTTTATAAAATTATAAGAGAAATAAATTTTTTTCTAAATAGTATAGTTTATTATTTTGTAGAAAAACAAAATTTCGAAAATTTTAGTAATGTTTCAGAAACAACCGTTATTAATAATAGGTACCATTTTCCTTAATAAGGTAGAAATAAAATATAAACTATTTCCACGATTTACAAAGGCCTACAAAAAAATTATAGGTATTTTCCGCTATCCTATAAAATTTATATTTTCTGACTCAATTTCAAAAGGTTGAAGGAATTCCAAAACACCTTTTATGGCATAATAATTATTTTCAATTCTACATACTATCTTTAGCTGCTTTTAAAAACGTTCTAAGAAAGTCCAATCAGACCAATTTAATCCCTAAACTATTCCACACTTTTAAAATTTAATTACCTAAAAATATTAAAAACTATTTAAAATAACTTGTTTAGCAGACTGTACAATAGCTATCTTAGTCACACGTAGCGCGTTCTCTGTCTGGGCGTCGAACATCTCTAGAAATTTGATGAACTGTAACTTTCAAACTTCGTAAAATAATTTAATAAAAATTTATTATGACAAACAGTAGTGAGATCCTCTTAAAATACTGCCCTTAAAACAGAATTAGCTTGTTTAGTTTACCAGGGGCGGACTAGGTTGTACATTTTAATGCTTACATTTTTAACACCCTGTATAATAAGGGGTTAAAAACAATAAGTTTCGATAACTTGAACATTAAATTAAAGAAAAGGTACTCATCTTCATTGTCGATAAAATGAACCGATTCGAGAAAAAAAAATAATGAAAGAATTAATGTTTTATTTTTATTAAAAAATTAAACAGTTCATTTGTTGCCTTCAAACAAGCAACACCGGTTTCTGTGCGAGATAAGTAGCAGCGATAAGTTTACTGTTTAATACCAAAGTCTAGTTCAAGCAGTGTTGCCAGATATACCATTTTAATGGTATTTATACCATTTTTTTCTACTCCGATACCTGCAAATTTTTGAAGACACCATTTTCCATTTTTTACCATTTTTTGGCTACTGATACCATTTTACTACCATATTTTTAACTTTTAGATTTTTATATCATTCATTATAATAATACGAGTAAAACATAGCACTCTGCACATCTCTACTCTACTAACAAGTAACAAGAATGGTCTCACATCTCTACTAAAACACGCCCAATAATAGACAATTACAAAAATGTATTTATAATCGGAGAATTCAAAAATGAAGAGAAATATATGTAGTCTATTTAAAAAAAAATCGATGACGTAGCGAAAGACGTCTAGTTGAAAATAAAAATTGACCAGTAGAAGCATTTTGTTAAAATACTGATAGAAAAATATCGAATTTATTCCAATCTATACGTCCTCATTGTATAATATATGTTACTATAGGTTATAGTTATAAATTACTAAGGGCCGATTTCACCGTTGTGTTAAATGGAGATTCAAATGACATTGTTAATGTAAAAATGTTATTTTAAACTTCGTTTAACACAACGGTGGAATCGGTCCTAAAAGATTTATAAATACAATTTTAATAATACAAAGGGTACTGAGTAACTGGCAAATTTGCTAAATTCAGCGAGATCATAATGATCCTGTTCCTGTTTTCCCGTTCTTAATAATACTTTGTTATTTAAATCATAGTTTAAAATAAAAATTTTATACTAATTTTCATTTTTATTTGTTCATTATGTGTGTAAAACTTCATTATTTGGTGTTATCAAGATTACTCTGGATACCATTTTTTTGTCAGTAAAATACCATATTTTTAAGTGCCGGATACCATATATTTTTTTTTTCATCTGGCAACACTGAGTTCAAGTGATGGGGAGGAATTCTCCGGATTTATGGATGTAGATCAAGATATTTCCACGTCAACGAAAAGAAAATACAACGAATTTACAGCAACTGAATGAAGAATCACTAGACGCATTTATCGGAATCTCCAAAAAAAAGGGCTAATAGATAAGAACGGAGAATCGAGCGACACCTCCAAAAAACTAGTTAAAGATAACGAAGATATTCCGTAGTTTTTTATAAAAAAAAACACAAAGCAAATCCTAAATTATGGAATATAGCGCAACAATACCCTACAACCAAGCTTCAAGAGATAACAAAATTCCAGCAACTCAAGTCTACTCTTGTGTTATTGCCTCTGTCGAAAACGAAATATCGGACGAAGAAATTGATGTTTTAAATTAGATAAAGAGCAAAATAATCTTCAACCAAGGCTTGGTCATCTTTTTTAGATCTGCTTTAGTACCTAATACTGCGTCCCATAGTTCCTTATGTTCCAGATAGGTCTGAACTGCAAACTTCCAACTGTCGTAGTTCTCACGCCCTTTTAATTTCTCTATGGAAACTGGTAACTAGACATTTTTGGATATATCTGAAACTTAACGACTCCTGCAACAGTTTAATCTGGGCCCATAACCTGATGTTTTTAAATTACATAAAGATCTTTGGTAAACCAATAAAACTAAGATATATTTCAAAGTATTAATTAGGACATAAAATACATAATACAAACTGACATACATCTGACAATCAATCATATATAAATATCAAATAAATGGGATCGTGGCTGCCGATACCTTCTAATAAGACTAGTTGAAATTCATTTCGACAGAAATCTCACAAAAAATGGTCTCATCTGGAGGCGAATTCCACTACTGTAAACGAATCATCTCAAAAAAGACAAACACTTTAACAAACTTCATAAGAATTATCACAAAAAATCTAAAATTTTACGAAAAACTTCTCCCTGAAGGATTACATTACAAACCCTGCCATTATGCTGTCTATTCGAGCTTTCCACCGCCCCCAGTCCCAATGCCTTGCAAAAAGGGTTTGAAGTTTTCCCACTCAACAGAAAACTGCACAAAAACAACAAAATGCAACAAATATTCTGAAGCGCATTCCACGAACAAGTGTCCAACCACGCTACCCCCAAAATGCAGTGGATGTGGCTCAGAAGATCATTAAGCTTGGTCATTTAAATGTCCTAAAATATCAACAAAACCAATAACAGGAATTCCCAACTTACCAGTAAAAACATTAAATAAAAAATCTGACCAAATTAAGGACAATAAGAAAATGAACAGAATCCACTCCCCAATAACAGTTCATGACATAATAATAAATTCTTATGTACAAAATCTGAACAAACCTAAAAACATCAACATAGAGGAGTTAATAGAAAGACTACGAAAAAGATTCATGGCGGAATACAGAATAGATACCACTGTAACGTTTGAGGGAAACAACTGGATTTACATCTTGATGTTTGACATGAAACTAGACAACTTCGAATCTCCCACTGAAACTATACCAGGATCGCAAGTAGCGCACATTCAACAACGAAAAATAAATATTATACACTAATATAAACACTTACTTTCAAAAGAAATATTTAGTGAACTATACAATAGAAAGGAAGTTAATAGACTGTGCCCTATTTGTAGAAACTAAAACCAATGCGGAAACCAACACTAATTATAGAAATTGGAATGTAGTAAGACACGACGGAAATATTCTAAATCAAAATATTAGAGGAGGATCACTTATGCAAATAAATCCAAAGCTTAAAGTGCAAAAACAAAACCTGCCCCGAAATGATGCTCTACACGTCAGTATCCCTTTCAATGATGACGAACTTCATATTATTTTGATATACAGCCACCCACATGCTTTAACAGACGATTTTATCTTCAGAATGGCAGGAAGATTCAAATATGTTGTGCTAATCGGTGACTTCAACCACCGCTCTCCAGGCAAATTAAAACAGATTCAAACTTTTATGCATAACACAAACTTTATTAAAGCGGATACTCCCCCTAGTTTTTTGATGCTCAACAATGAGGACTCCACCCCAGGTTTGTTAATGTACACTGACAATCTTAGCAACGCAATCAAGAATATAGAAGTAATCCCTGACATTGGGGCAGACCACCATTCTATAATGTTTACTATCGAGCAAGGAATACTCTCTCCTTTTGCAGACCCACCTCTTAAATATCATTTCAATAAATCAAACATTAAAAAAATAAATAAAGAAGTAAACCAACTAATTTCAAACAACACTAATATTACTACCAATGAAGTCAATAACTTTCACATAAAGGTCTCTGAGATTATCAGAAACAACACACCAAAAACTGCAAACAAATATTTTACTTATGAACTTCCTAGATACATCGTGAAACTCATCAAAACAAAACGTAAAATGCTCAGAGAATACAGGCAAAACCCTAGTCGGGAAGTCAAAACAAACATCAACAACTTTAACAAAGACATTCAAAAATTAGTAAAACAATTTCAGCAACACACATGGCTACATACCTGCCAAGAAATCAATCTAGAACAGGGAAGAAAATGATATCATAAAATAAACTGTCAAAATATAAAACAAGGAATAACATTCCAAATATCACAGACAATGGTATAGACTATATGCTACAGATGCGAGAACTGGAATAATGTAAACTCATGGTGCATACAATATTTTAGAAGTAACCCAATCAATGAGGAATTCGAGGAGAAACAATACTTTCAAATACTATCCAATCAGAAAAACTCCGTTCCAGGATGGGACATAATCCCATGGCAAATTGTGAAAAAACTAGAATATAATATACATATCTATATTATAAAAATGTTTGTATTCTGTTACAGAAACTCGTACTTTCCAGATCAATGAAAAAAAAGGCACCATCATAGTTATCCCAAAACCAGGCACAGACCACAAAAGAATTTTTAATTACAAACCAATCACCCTTCTCCCAGTTTTGGGAAAACTATTCGAAAAACTTATTAAGGTCAAACTATTAGCATTAGTAAACGAAGGAATTCCGAAATTCCAATTTGGGTTTAGAGAACAAATCTCCGCTCTGGTACCAACCACTCTGCTGGTTTCCAATGTGCAAACAACAAAATTGAACAATACAAAATCTGCCATTCTCCTATTGGACATTAAAAAAGCCTTTGATTGCGTCTGGCACAACGGCCTCCTATTTAAACTAAAACCTTTTAATGTCCCTATCATCATGTCCGATAGTCAAGCAGCCATCAAAGCGCTGAGTTCTTACGTAATCAGCTCAAAAATGGTATGGAGATGCCTAGAACAATTGAATGAGCTAGGCGAGAAAAATAGAGTTACTCTCACTTGGGTCCCGGGACATAACGGGGTACAGGGTAACGAGATTGCAGATAGTCTTGCAAGGAAAGGGGCTCAAACACCCTTTGTAGGACCTGAGCCGTTCTGCGGTATCAGCAGTAACATAATATTAGAAGAGATTAAAAAAGAATTGGGTAGTAGAAGAACCGATAATTGGAACAATCTCTTGGGGCTGAGACAGGCCAAGATACTTCTGGGTGAATATAACCAAAAAAGATCGGAAGCCTGCATCTGCCTGAGCAAGAACAGGCTACGTATTGTAACAGGGATCCTTACCGGGCACTGCCGACTAAAAGGACACCTAAGTAAACTGAGAGTAGTAGAGGATAGTGAGTGCAGATTCTGTGAGGAGGAGGACGAAACCTCCATTCACATCCTGAATGTGTAGCACTCCAGAATCCAAGGGCACTATATCTAGGAGGATATCAAATAGAAGAGGGAGACTTACCTAACTTGAAGCCACTTCAAATCCTACACTTCCTTGAGAAAATAGGATTGGAAGGGTCGCTATAGGCATTGAGACATTTCCTTAGTGCAGTGGCGACAGAAGGGGGCACAATAGATCTTTTAGGTCGCAGTGTATTAACACCCCATTATCAACATAACATGTCCCTGATGGTCTTATAATTCTTAACAAAAACTTCCTTCAAAGCAGAACTCTAAGAGTTAAAATAAATAACCACACATCTCCAAGTTTCATAGCAATTCAAGGTGTACCGCAAGGGTCGCTACTATTTCCGCTCCTTTACAACATATATTGCTTTGATTTTCCTTCAGGTCCCAGACAGCACACCAAATCCTTTGGATATCTACTGGACATCCAAATATCCACTGCATGTCCAGTCCATGGTGGATATCTATTTTATATCCATGAGATGTAATTTATAGACATGCAAATGCCCATAAATATTAGTAATTATATAGCAAATTATTAAAAAATTACGCCCCGCGGGGTTGTGGCTAATAGTATCGTTCAGATATTTAAAATTAAAGTTACACCTCAATGCAATAAATTGCACACTCCAATATGCAGATGACACGGCCTCGATATCGCATGGAAATACGCTGAATCAAATTATCACAGCACTACAAAATCAATATAACGAAATTGCTCAATGGCTCAATAAATGGAGATTACAAGTTAACCCACAAAAATGTCAATTAATGATACTTTATCATGATCTAAGACCGCCATCACCTACACTCATCATATCTAACCAACCAATCTATCCCGAATCCTCAGTGAAATGCCTAGGCCCTATTATTGATAATAAGCTGAACTTCAATGAACACACCCGCAGACAAAAACAAAATTAAAACCAGAGCCAAACATTACCGCTCTTTAACATACAAAAAAGAAGGTATCAACATCTACACGGCTACTAAAATCTACAAAACAATTTGCAGACCTCTCCTGGAATACGGCCACACTATATATTTAAACTGCCGAAAACCTGCATTAAAAAACATTCAAGTAGCCGAAACTTCTACACTAAAAATCGTCACCAAGATGCAACCCCACTCACCATCCAGCGAATGAATATCTTTACGAAAAAACTAAGATTCAGCCTATCCTGGAAAGATTTAGAAAACTGTCAAAAAATTTCTTAAAGGAACGAAACAATCATATGGTAATAAACATTTTTTCGATGCAACGACAAATTGGTCAAGCAAAGTTTAAATACCCAGTGAGATCAATAACAGAAATCTTAAACAAATTTGCTTATGAACAATAATTATTTATTTAGGTATCTTACTATTCATATTCATATTATTCATCTTACACATATAACTTGTAAATCCTCATACATACCATATAAATTGTACTGGCTGCAGAAATCAGGTAGATGGCCATTTGGTTGTAATATTCATAACCAATAAAGTGCTTTTATTATTATTCTTCTGAGTGTTTCATTGTATTTATATTCACTTCCATTGCACATTTATTTACAAATAAATTCTTATCAGTAAGATTACTCTTATCAATTCTTTCGGATATTTTACTCTCCGCAGTTTTCTTACTATTCATGGTCTTTTGTTCATACTTAAGATCCTGAAACTGCAATTGGCTTATTCTTATTTCTGTCATTCCAGCTTTCAACTGTAGCTGTTTTATAATTCTATAGTCTTCCTCTTTAATTAGAATTTCGTCTAAGGGCATTTTTTTAACTCGTACTTCTTAATAATCATATTCAGATTCTAATTTTTTCCTTTTAGCTGATAACTCTAGTTGCTTAATTTCTTTCTGTTCCAATATTCTTTTTTCTAAGTGAGTACTTTCCACAACATGAAAGTTAGTTGATTTTACGACCGAAAACCTTTTAATAAACACCAAAGTCATGGTTAGTTGATCTAGAATCTAAATCTTAAACGAGGTGTATATAGTGTGATCATTAAATAAATCGCAATTGTTTTATTTTGGTATTTTATTATCAATATATATTTAACTATTTTTTTACACTTTGTAGATGTATATTTCTATTGGAGTAGGAGTAGGTGGATTTAATTTTGAAGATAGAACTGATGGCACCAAACCATGGAAGAACGGTGAACGTTTAAGTATGAAAAAATTCTATGAGGCTCAAGAATCGTGGATTAAAACTTGGAACGAAGATAGTTCATTATCAGTTGCGTCTGTAAGAGTATGGGCTTTGTAATAAGTAAATTGAATAATATTGAGTGTAATCTATATATTATTTATTTATTAAAATATTTTTTTCTAAAACTTTTATTATAAAAAAAATACATCTTTTTTTTGTAATTTATTTAGTAGTTATTTTAAGTAAGATTTTTTCCCTTTTTCTTTTTGTTACACAAATTCGAATTCAGGTTTTTAATTTTGAAGGACGTCCACTTCTAAAGAGCAATTTCTATTCCAGGATAATGAGAAAAATATCTTCGCAATTCGGAACTTCTCAACTAAGGACCCTTGGTAAAAATTTATCTGTGGACGCCGGAAATTTTTACCTAATTAGGATTCGCAATTGGTGACTCATACCTGCATTATATTATAGGCCAGTCAGTAAAGACATCCTATTTTGAACATTTCACAAGTTTTCAAACTTTACAATAATAATCGCCTAGTTTAAATAACACCAAGTTTAAATTTACAACCTTTTCAAGGTCCGGAACTAGTTAATTTATACCAAAATGGCGCTTTTGTTTATAATGTTGAGAAAAAATTGCAAAAGTGCTGCAAACCTAAAGCAATATATATATTGTATTATTTTCAACATTACATCAGATTTGCAACTTTTTTGAATGTCCGGAACATGATGTTTTTTTTTTTTGTAAAATAGCGTTTTTGTTTATATTATAAATAAAAAAATTGCAAAAGTGCTGCAAACCGATGACATAACTCATACAAGTTTTTGAAAGAGCTATTCCAATTTGCAAACCTTTTATTTTGGACGGAAATATTTTTTTTTTGTAAAAAGATTAAAATAATTTTTAATTTTTCTCTAATTTTGTAAAAAAAAAAAATTGAAAAATATTGCAAATTTTACAGAACAATTTAAATACCTTCCTATAAATAAATGCAAATTTGCAACGCTCCAAGAATAATACAAAGATTGTAAAATGTCTATGACCATATTTGCATTGCGAAATTATTAGAAAAGGGTCTAGGGGAACAAAAAAAAATATTCATAAGCAATATGGAATTTGCAACCTTATACTTATCAAGCAACATATTTAAATAATTTCTTGTTTTCGTTTTTATCGAGTTTACAGAGAATATTTATATTTACCCCATATTAGTGGTAATTCTATAACGAATATGTTAAAATTTAACGGACGTTAAAAATATAACGTATGTTAAATATGAAAAGGAATTCTGTAAATTCATGAAAAATTTTAACTTGTCATAATTAACATAATAGTTCATTTGTACCTCAAATATCTATTCTATAAGCAAAAATATGTTAAAAATTTAACATAAATGTGTTAATTTTATGCGGTAAATCGAGGATATTAACAGGTACTAATTAGTAGGCTTTAAAACTTAATATATAAGAAATTATTACTTGTGTATGTTTAATTCAACTTATAATGCAAGAAAATCATGAAAATGAACCATTTTGAAAGTACTCAAGTAATTTTAACAGTTGAAATTACACAAATTCTATTTAGAAATTGTTTTTTATAGTGTATATAAACTTTTTGTGGTTAGTAATTGATTTGTCGTAAAAGGGCACTATTATAAGGTTACTGAGGTTAGTTTTGTTTTGATGGCCAACCAAATAGTTTATAAAGTAAATTCGGCCGCTACTTTTTTTAATATTCTTATGCAAAAACAGACAGATACAATAAATATGACAAAAGGAATGACATTTATTTGACAGACCTTAAAAGTTAACCATACTTTTATTACAAATTTGAACTACTTTTAACGTATGTTAATTTATTTGAAAATTTAACGTATGTGTTAATTTTATTTTTATAGACTTACAATTTATGTTAAAATCGTAAAATTTAACACCCGTTAAAAATTAATGTATTGAATTACAGAATTACCACTATTAAATAATTGGCCGACACGGTATAAACTAGTACCACAGCTTATACAATACAGCTCCACAACTCCGTGTCGGCGTCTTTGATCTGGCGGTCGAGAACCAAGCAAGACGGAATGGTGCTATCTCTGTTAGATTCGAGGGAAAAGTCGGGCCCGGATTAAACAATTTTTTTATTATTGAAAAAATTGAAAACCTTGGCGTAATAAGGTTGGTTACATGCCATATTAAGTAAGTTTTGGGAAATTAAATTTTTAATTTGTTTTAAATCTGTCAAATATAATTAGAAACATTATTTAAATATAAATATTACGAAAAATAGCACATCTTTCGGATTAGAGGTAAAATAATTTGTGGCTAGTAAAATCCTCGTTAACAAATGTTTTGAGCTAAAACAGTCACTTCACGCCAAATTGTGGCTTGGATCCTTTTTACACCAAGGGCTTCAATTGTTAAAGAATTGTGTCACGCTCGTGGATGCAAATCAAGTGGTACCCCGTGTCTCTGGCAAGTGTTACTCTTCGCGCAAAGGGTTTATACCTAGATAAACGAATGCTTCGACTGAGGTCTGGGAACTCTATGGTATTTTTCAATTATAAAGAATTTGTGCTGTTATTTTAACAATATTGGTTATATTTAGATGTATTCTTATTAATTGAAATACAGATTTGTAGAAGTAATACTTTGACAGTTTTTATTAATATAATATATTCAATTTTTATCTGACCATACCGAAGTAGGGAATTTTGAAACTTTATAGTAATGTGAAATTTGAATTACAATATTACACGATATTACATAATTAGTACTTATTTTAGGTAGGTACTAAATTTGTACTTGGAGAAAGTAATATCGATTTTTATAAGAAAACTTGAAAAGTAAATTAATTTAGTTCCTATTTCTGATGTAAAACTTAAGTTTTGGTTTAAACCAAGAAAACAAATAAATTATAGTTTGTTCAACAAGGGTGGATATGATAGCAATATCACACAAAGACGAAGTTTGAGCACGACGTCGTATGCGGAGTACTCAATCGTCTGATTGTGATATGAACATTCCACTCGATATGGTCAGTATATTTTTTCTACGACCCACTAACGAAAAACTACAAATTTAAAAAATTATTTTAGGTTATTTAGACAAAATAACTAATTTTAAAATAATTTACGAAATTGACTAATTTATAAAATAAAATTAACATGAAAAATTAATTAGTCCTCGGCCTAGATTCGATCCCGGGCTTTTCGCGTGGAAGGCAGATGCTCTGTCCTCATCTTCACCGAAACTTTCAGGACTTTAGTTTTAATACTCGTAATTAAATTAGTATCATGTAGTTTGATTAAAATTTATTTTTTTTTAAATGTGGACACAATAAAAACAAAAATGCTATTATTTATCGAGTCTACACAAAAAATTTAATGTATATTTAATATCAATAACTAAAATATATATTGACAATTAGTTTAACAGAATTGTCACTTATTTAAAAAAATTTAAATAATAGGAGTTGGGTGACCAAAATATGAACTGTGATTTGTAGATTTAATTTTGATAAAGTGTTCTCACTACCTAAAATGGATATGAAATATATTCGTAGTTGAACGCAATAACATACTTTTTCGTTTTGTAGTATGTGCATAGATTGGCTAATATCCATGCACAGATTACAAAACGAAAAAGTATGCTATTGCCTTCAATTGAACGAATATATTTCATATCCATTCTAGGTAGTGAGAACACTGCAAAAAAAATAAATTCGCCAATCACCGTTCATATTTTGATCAACCGACTGCTATTATTTTTAAAATTTTAAATAAATGACAATTCTGTCAAACTAATTGTCAGTATATTTTTTAGTTATTGGGATTAAACATACAATAAAATAAGTTATTCTTTTGGAAAACGTTAGCATGGATGACTAAAGGGTATTGGGTTAATTAATTCTAAAAGTGTGGTACAAATGTTATTTTTTGTAGCCAATTCTTCAAAATTATTTTGAAATATCTTTTCAATATTGAATATTAGTTCTACAAATTCATCATTTGACAGTTGCAGATTTCCAAATGTATCTGGATTGGCGTTATCATATGCCTTTAAAAAGCTATAAAAAGAAAAATCATCTAATTCAACGTGATCTTTGTTATATTTAAGACAGGTATCGCAGAGGAGTGGATCCGCAAGGCTTTTATTAAAAGGTAACCACACACATACCTGATAAAATTTTTCTGTATCAATTCGTCTCTACAATAATTTAGGGTGTTAATAATTTTATCATAAAATAAAATACAAGGTGTTCCATTTAAAAAACATACATTTTAATTTGCCAGGCAAAAACGTGACACCCTGTATATCCAAAGATATTTTTAAAATATGTAGGTATTTTTCAAATCCATATAACTTTTATTTAAAACTTTCTTGCGTGTCTACAACAAAATAATGAACAATAACGCACTAATGGGATACCCTGTATAAATTATATTTTTAACAATGAAAATTTCTTATAATGTGGTACTTATCGGTTTGGGTCCTTGGGAAAACTAAAGAATGTTTTCTTGCAGGTATAACCCTTATTAAAACAGCTTTTGACTGCACAAACAGAATGATGTCTTTTTTTTTTTCACTCATTCTACTCATAGCTAAAGAGTCACCAAAATAATAACAGTACCTTTAACTCAAACAAAATCAACGAAATTATAGGCTCCACGAAATTATACAATCAACGAAATTATAGGCTCCACGAAATTATACAATCAACGAAATTATACGCACGACTCAACACCTTACCTAAGTACGCTTCTGAACACCAAAACCGTCTTTTCCCTTCGAAGGCGGAGCTTAAGCGATGCGCGACGAAATCGACGCAAACCGTTGCCGCCAAGAGAGTGTTTTAGCTGTATTGTATAAGCTGTGCTAGTACATAGAAGAGAAAACAATCAATATCCTAAATCGAGCCAAGAATAAGAAATTAACGCAATACCGTTGTAAATAGGCCCTTTAGATAATATCTAAGGGTTTGTTTTGGGTTATATCGAACCGTCGCGCGTCGCGTCGGCGTCTGTAGATTGCAGTTTTGAAATAAAGTTTATTTTTCAAAAAAACTTCGCTATGTTATAACCATTAATTGAACAGGACGAGTGTAATTCACTAATTGGTGAGAAAACCAAAA